CTCTCTCTCTCTCTCTCTCTCTCTCTCTTTCTCCCATTATAATTCTTTTACACTACGTTTACCTCATTAGACATTGTCTTTCCTAGTTCAGGCCTCTCTCTTCCTCTGAGAGAACCAGGATGGAGCGTCCGGATGAGTGAAAGTCTCCCCATCAAGACAAGGATAGCCCACGAATAGTTATTGTATGGCAGTTATTCATCCTCTCAAAATCAAGTCTTATATTCTCTTCTAATTGTTTGCTTTGGTAGGGTATTTCCTGACCTATTGAAATAAGTTAACCATCTCTCTTTGTATCTCTCTGTCTACCCCTATCTCTCCCCCCCCCCTCTCTCTCTCTCTCTCTCTCTCTTTCTCTCTCCCTATCTCTCTCTCTCTCTCTTTTTCTCTCTCTCTCTTTCTCTCTCTCTCTTTTTCACTGTCTCTTTCTCTTTTCCTCTATCCCTCTTAATCTCCCTATGCCTCGAGTCTTAATGTTTACCAATTTTTCTATATTTATATCTACTTCTCTCCCCCCCCCCCTCTCTCTCTCTTTTTCCCCTTCTGTCTCCCCCTATCTCTCTATCTGTGTATGTAATTCTGTCTATCTTCACTTTTCGCCTCTTTACCTCTCTCATTTTATATCTCCAAGATCTCTGTCGCTGTATCCTTCCATTTGTTTTGCATGTATACCTTTCTATCCATCTATCTCTAATTTTATCCATCTCTCAATATACGTGTTCCCGCAGTTATATACATTTCTGTTTCTGTATGTCTTTCTCGCTCCTCTATTCCTCGCTTCTCGTATACTGATCATTCCTGGTGTATGTTACTTCATATGCCGATACAAGACCTCATTGATTTCTGTCAGTGGAAAATATGTTTTATTTGAATAGAAATAAGCAGAAGATACAAATCAATATTTACAATTGATATCATCATTATTATAAGACGATAACTAGAAATATACATACATATAATTGCGATTGTAAGGATATTCCAGAAAATATACTAAAGTAAACCATTAATTGGTTTCAATTACACGAACAGCGACATATCATCGGATAAGCTTCTGTCTGTTAATTGTAATTAGTCCTTAAAAGAGTGCAGCACGTTGCGTGTTTTAAGCCGTCAATGTTGAGTGTCTCTTCACATCAAAATGTGGAGGTTTTCCACGGTTTTCATTTGCACATCTCATGTTTGTCACAATAAGTATCAAGTATCAAGTATCAAATTTTTTTGTCTTCCAGAAAACACATGTGACAAAATAAAATAGAGTATAATCATAACAGAACAATGTAGAATAGAGAAAGACGAGGAGACCTTGGTTGAAGCACAGCTTGTTAAGTTAAGGCCCCCTCATATGATGTGACAAAGATAACTGATTCATGAATACAACAACACATATGGAATATATAGTAAATAGACCCTTGTTTATTGCTACAATATAGACTATAGTCATCTCGAGCTTTGATAGAGAGATAACGATGATAAGTTGTAGTGAAAGTGGATGAAAAAGAATATACCCTTTTGATGGATTATTTCTGAAAAGGGAAGAAATTTCTTCTTATAACATTTAGAATAGACTGTTACACGTATATTCAGAAATTTCACTCACAACAGCAGAAACGACAAGCTCGTTGGATCTTCCGATGTAAAAAAAAAAAAAAAAAAAAAGGGGGGAGGGGGGTATTAGGTGAAAGGCTGGTTTAAAGTTTTAAGAATTGTTAACATCTTCTTCTTCATGCATTCACTCATGTTTTCACAACAATTAGGAATCAAATGTTAAAATGTTATGACAGCTATAAATCAATGTTTTAACATATTCAGATTAAGCTTTCGGTACTAATCACCAAGAAATAATCTCACATTATTCACAGTTAGAAACATAAGAGGCATTTGTGTCTAAAGGATTAAAAGTTGATACGATTCCCGTCCGTCATGTAAATAACAGCGTAAGCTTTGTTATAACCTTGTAATGTAGCCAGCCGTGAGACGAGGACTTATAATTTCCCTTGGTGAAGTTAACGATAATATCTCATATCTAACATTTCAAGCAAAATATTGCAAAGTCATGTTGTTTATATCGAAATGCGGATTGATTTGCAGCCAAACTTTTCGCAAACATTTGTTGATCAGATCTAGAGATCATGATATTTCTGAGCGGATTTTTTTTTCAACTGAAGTGTGATTCTATGTACCCCTCGGTGTCCAGGGGGGTGTTTCACAAAGATCCTAAGTTGAACTTATCTCTAAGTTGGACTTAACAATTATGGAAAGCCATTAGCATCTTTAAAAATGTTTTGTAAAAGTTCATTTTAAATGCATACAATTTTGACTCAAATCATTCATATTTTCTATCATCAAGGAGATTTCATGTTCTTGATGTGGAATTTATAAAAAAAAGTCTAAAATACTTGAATTTCTGCTTTTGAATATATTTCATTTTAAGGCTCCAATGGCTGTCCATAATTTTTAAGTCCAACTTAGAGGTAAGTTCAACTTAGGATCTTTGTGAAACACCCCCCGGATGTAATACAGCCATGAACCGTTTCTCATTCTCGGGGGGGGGGGGTGACTGACTAATGTAGAAAGTTAAATGTTACATAGTTCATCTACCCCGATAGAAATGCTAGCAACACATTTTACTATTAAATCAATCCATTTGGGGGACTTTGAATACTTCATTAAATAGAGGGTACATAAGTTGACTTACTGGCAAATGCTGAGTGTACAAGTGTCATATAATCCACAAGATGTGCTTTGTACTCGATAACAAGATTAAATTTAAAATAAAGATGAGCATGATCGTGTCAATAAATTATCATTTCACTTTGAAGAGTATATTAGTTTATGCCCTGTTAAATAAAGACTTATGTTCATAATAGATGTACTCTGACCCATTTCCATTTGTTTATATCCCCTTTCTGAAATAATGAAAGCAGTATTCATCAAAAATTGTAAACCACTCTATGCATTTGTCAAAGATTCTATGACACGGGTTAAATCAAATCGCATTTGAACTAGACAGCTGTGGAGAATTTTAACGTTGACTGTTAACAAAGAGCGCGTTTTCATCAACTTTTTGAGTTGCCATTTCCAAATATATTTCATATCAATTCTACTATTCAGCGAAAACAACTGTTCCAATCCAATAAGGGAGTTCACAGATACAATCTGCGCATGGGCAGATAAATTTCATTTGTACCAAAATGGTAAAACCCACAGAGATGAATACTGGATATGCGCTCATGAAAGTTATGTAACATTATTCATTTATGCACCAACGGTACATTCTATGATACGCAGGTGGAAGTATTCTTTTCAAGAGGTCAAACAAAAGGTATTCATGAAGCACATCTAGGAATTTGGCAGTTATTATTCTAAGATGCTCAAAGTGGAACTTCTCCATGTGTAAAAGATCTGTGGATATTTGGGGTCATTTGTACCATGTGCTATCTGTAAACTCTCTTATTGGTTTAAACTACTTAACTAAATAAGCGACAGGCATTGTGGAGTAAACCAACGCCTCGTTTAATTATCAGCGGAAGTACATAGGAAATTGGGGAATGAAACGTTATCTTTCCTCACCTTAAGTGGTGACAAGTAATTGGTTTAGCTACACTGTTGCAGGTTTTGTCAAAAAAAGAAATAGATAATCGATGCTGACATACATCATATCAAGAAGTCATAATGTACTATTTGACATCTGTTTCCTAATGCTTTTCCATAGTCATTCCATGATGATTCTCCTTGTTCATATGCAATACATGCACAGGGCGTCATTTTGATTTGTTAAAAAAAAATACCTGTGTCAGTGAAGCTAATCAAGGTAATTAAAACATATATATACCACTCATTCAAAATCAATGTTTCCAATGTCGGTGTTATCAACCCATAGTATGATAGCAGTACAGAGCTTTTCAAATGTCTAACTGAATCAACTTTTTCTCCTCAGTTTGGCAAACAAAACATTCCCACTCTAAAACGTCACCAAAGCGCTTTGGGTTAATCAACAAGCCAGTTGCTGTCAGGGAAATGACGCAATTTTGTAAACCGGTAATGGCCTATAGCTGCTGCTAACATTAACGACTTATTTCTCTAATAATAATAAGTTTCTAATATAGCGCTTTACCATTAACTGACCAAAAGTGCTTGCAGTATGATTACTCCGGACACTGGATTCAATTGCTATTCTGCAAATCAAGGTACGCATTTTCCACTCCCTGGCGAGCATTCCTGCTGGTCGCCATTTTACGGGCACTCACATACTAATCCAACCACAATGACGTTCACATCCTACCAGGTAACTAATTAACACCTGGGTGGAGAGCAGCAAAGCAGATTCATAATAATCGAGTACAATATGTGACACGTCATTCACAATGATATACATGTATAATAATTTTCGTATTGCACACACAGAATATATTCTTTTTGATATACAGCTTCTTTCATAGATTCATGGACCAGCGTACAATTACTTATTAAACTTTTTGTCGAAAAACATTTTTCTTTAATATTCTATTCCATAGTTTCCTCATTGGGGTTGTATTGTTCACATGTTCAATAACGTCTTGTTATTGCCTCGTCTGTTCCTGAGAATTTAATAGCAAACATTTCATCGTGGAAAGATAGCAAGAATGAGTCCAAACAGACAGACAGAGTCATGACTGTACATAAACAACAATAATTATTTCAAGAATGATAATACACAATATAAACAATTAACTCGGTCTACATTGCAAAAATATATATTTTTCGTCAATTCAGCTATTCCAATTTACTGTCTTTGAACTTGAGCGTTGGTTATGCGTTCACAACTGCTCTTTGCGACATCGTCTGGTAATTCGCTGATGTCGGTAAGTTTTGACGTCTCCATTTTCTATATCCTATGGTTGCAACTGCTGCTGCTCCTATCGCTATACCAAAGGACACAAAGGCTCCCGTAAGAGCGGCAGTCATAGAAGAGGGTTTCTCCTTTTGATTTGAGTGGTTGATAACTGGTCCAATTGTTTGGGGAATTAGAGGAACTTGGGGACCGGCTCCCGTACCGGTACCAGGCCTTGGTGGCTGTCGCGGTTGGGCTGGTCTGACAGGGAATTGGGGGACCGGGTTGGCCACTCGAGGATTGGAGGTGACCGCTGGTAGGACGGGGATATTAGGTCGGCGAGCTCCACCACCTGTTCCTGTCCCTCCTGTCCCTCCTGCTCCTCCTGCTCCTCCTGCTCCTCCTGCTCCTCCCCCTCCTGCCCCTCCAGCTCCACCTGTGCCTCCTCCTGCTGCCCCACCCGCACCCGCACCTCCATCAGCTGCACCTCCACCGGCTCCCCCTTCACCTGCTCCTTCTGTTCCTCCACCAGTTCCGGTACCAAATGTTTCTCCTGCTCCACCCTCACTAGCTTCTCCCCGATCTATGCCACCACCTGCACCTCCAACACCACCACCGGTACCTCCAGCAGCAGCAGCACCACCACCACCACCACCACCACCACCACCACCACCACCACCAACACCAGGATAAGGCCTCAAGGTGGCTTGTGGGTTCTCCTCAAAGTCCGGTACACTCGGATCGTAGTCTGCAATACTTGGTACCCGCTCTTCGCTCGAATCACTACCATACTGTCGCCTCATAAAACCGAGACGATTATTCAACTCCCCTGGATACATCGGTCTCTCCCTCAGTGCTGCAGCATTGCCTCCTGTTACTTCAACAGGTCGGGAACCCTTCAGGTTAATTGTCGTCTTGTTCATGTCTCGCGTGCAGTTTCCTTCTATCGTCAAATAACAAGGTATGGTTCCTTCAGACTTAACATGTGTTTGTATATTCGTTTTAATGGCTTCCCGATTTGTAGCAGAGTTATGTAACGGGACCGCCAATATGGATACACCTGCATTCAAGAATACATAAAAGAGTTCATTACAGTGTAAATATATATAAATATATAAATATAAATAAAATACATATACATTTCGTGGAACCAACATATTAAAAAAAATATTTAACATTACGACTAGATTACGATTAGATATTTACATATTCAGTTTAATTTCATATTAATTTTGAGCAAATAAAAATGTTACGATCATTATTTGAACAGGAGATTATGAAGAGAAAAATCATGACTAAAACAAATCAATTAGTTAAAATCAAAAAGATAATTGAAAACAGGTCTAAACATATACACAGTAGGCCTACGGTTGCACCATGTGAGAGAGGGGGAGGATTGGGAATTCCTGAAATTGAATGTCTAAACATGTTCAAACTGTTCATATTCGATGTTAAATGAACGGAAAAGATTTGTTTTACCTTTTTTATTATCTGCATGTGATTAATGATGAAATGGATGATCCACATGCCCACAATTCCCACGTTCTGATTACCCCCCCCCCCCCCCCGCAAATAAAAATAAAGAGAAGAAAAACATTGTGCATAAGCTATTTTCTACAAACTTTTGGTTTTAAAACGTAGATTATATAATGTCTAACGAAATTTGAAAACTGATATCCATATAATTATGACCCGGAAGTAGATTGAGTATGACTTCTGAACAGGGGAGAAGAAAAGAGTACATGCGAATAAAAATATAGTTAATTGTTGGCTGTTTAAAACAGTTATGGTATAAGGAAATAGCCATATCATAAATGATAGAAAGCCCAAGTTTACTGCATATGTTAAAATGAAGAAAAAGGAATTATATATTCAGCAACTGAGATGGATGCTGTAATCTGCCGATTTTACTATGCTTACGATGCTCACTATGTGGAGAACTACTTTGGGGTCAGTTACAAATTGAGTTTAGTTATAAAACTGTATTTAAATTGGATGTTCAGGGCCTCTATCCTGGACACCTATTATGCTTATTATAAGCGTGTACATTGGCGTCTAGAGAGACTATTTTGGGAGTCAATTGGTAACTGTGTTACGGGCAGATCTACATCTCTCCATAATTGTCCTGAGTTCCGGTCAATTTGTCGCCAGACTGGAACAGATTGTAAAATTGTTTGTTAATTAAAGCACTCTCTTCCCTTTCAGTCTTCCCCGACCATGTTATGTTTACGAAGAGCTCTATGTTTTAGACAAGCTTTAAATTTGATTACTTAAAAATTGCGACAGGACTTCTCCAAACGTCAAATGTGTCAGATCTTCTTACATTATACGAAAACTTCCATTTCATCAAAATTTTCATCAATTTTAAAGGCCTCAACAAAAGAAGTGAAATTGTAAATCAATGCTATATCAAGTGTGACAGGATCCATCAAAGCTTTTCCTCGAAATGTTATATTTTGACGTTCCAGTGTTTTCACAAGTCTGGAACAAGTCATCATCCGACTAAATTGAAATTAAATAGTTAATGTCCTGACCCAAAATGCCCCTAACCGCTAACAATATGTACGAAGAAGAGAAATGCAGTGGCTGTAATGCCTGTCTGCCTAATAAATGCCAGGTCGTTTCCTCAAAACTCTTCCCCTTCCTTCTCTTTGAAACTATTTTTAGGCACTGGTGGATATAGATGACTCCTTTCCTCCCCTCCTTAAAAAGCTCCATTTGACATAAACAAAATATTTGCTCATTATTTTTTTCTTCAAAATCTCGACACAAAGGACACCTGGAAAAGTGATAATCAATTACTTTTGTAATTAAGTTTGATTGCTCATCTGCCCGCTCTTATAAAATGCTGGAACCGCCCCTGATTCAATGAAAGTGTAAGGTGTTTGGGAGTAAGAATAAGAGAAAAAGAAATGATGGTAATGTGCTATGGCTGAACAGTTGTAAAAGTAGTAGCCTTGATTTGAAACGACTAATAGGTTTTAAATAGCCTGCGTATTAAACAATAGCAGTCTGGATTTGAAACTAAAACTGATTGAAAGTAGTCGATGCAACATCAGGAACTAATAGTAATGACCATAGTGCGAGTAATTTAATCTTTGCCTTGAATCTATGGTATTAAATACGATATGATAATCATTGATATCACATTGCTTATTATTTTTCCTGTGGTTGAATCATTTTCACTCTAACATTTGGACACATTGGAATAATTTTATTAACACAGAGATTATATTAAGTCGTCGTCTTTTGTTTTAAAAAAGCGGTTTATATTTCAAAGATGAATGTAGAAAAAATATAATACTCGTTGTCTGTTTTCCCAAAGATCTCATTTTCTTCATCGTTTCAGACTAATTTTTTAGCCACATCCACTAAATATTCAATACCACCTTCGATATTCCGTTGAGAGCCAAAAGGACGTTTACTATAGCTATTTTCGGCCCCGGGGCAGATGACACTTCCCTTTCCCTCCCCTTACCTTCTCCCGATCCCTCCTTCCCCTCCATTTTCACTACTACATACATGTATTTGCAGTGTTTGCTTTTTTAATATTTTTTTCGCAGTAAATTGTACCATTTCTAATGAAAGTTTAAAAAACATAAAATTTGAATGAAAATACTCTACTCTACAAACTCAGAAAGCGAATATTAGATCAAAATTGGGTTACAATTATATCCGAATTGGATCAAAATTGTGCAGAAGCACTGCCTTCCTCCTGTTTAGGATAGGAGTAATATCCGTTCAAAAGTAATTACTGCATGTTCGTAATCAAGACGCGCACATTCGTATTTAAGTCAGGAAGTCTTAGTCTGTGACGTCTTCAGAAATGGATTTCCAGGGCATTCCTATTGTAGGGTAGCTCATAAGTCTTCAGCTACGGCTCTGGAGAACGGTCTCTCTTTTAGTTAAGGAAGACATTCAATGTACGCAAAAAGTACGTGTTCTCTCGTGGTAAATTGTGCATTATGCTAAGATGAGTTTCGAAGAATAACTGTGTTAGAAGGTCTCAAGCAAATTGATCTTATATAGCCCAAATTTATAGATTTAACGTTTTAAAGTATATAAAAACGTTCACATGCCGAAAAAACGTGATGTCGTGTAAATTTTCAGAAAAATTTAGCCTATTTTATTCTAGCCAATAGCAAATAATGTACTTCATTTTCCAATTTCTTGAATGCAAAGTTTATGTTTCGAATATACATTAAGGGTGCTTAATTAGGTATTTATAAACAAAATGATTTAATCGGAGGTTTTTTTTTCTTCACCTGACACTTGACCAATCCCTGAGACAAGTATACCATAGATGCAATAAAATCCGTACTGTTCTCTCCATTCATACAGGGATAGGTAGCAGATTCCACATCGCAATACTATTTCATCATTTTGCGTTACTTTGTTTATCTTAACATTTTCTAGAACTTTAAAGTGGATTTGTCAACCTTAATAGAATACACAGCGAGAACCCATTTATAGTCATGCGAAAATGTTGATATGTGTTAATATTACTGTATCGGTGTCTGTGTTATACATATATAATCTCTGGAATGATTTTTAAAAGGAGAAGTTTCTCAAAATCCGTTGAATTCTTCGTGGGAGTGCATAATTATTTGATATTGTTTTAAGACCAGACATAAATATTTTGTGTCATCTTTAACACTCAATTACCAATTGTTCGAATGTAAAGGTTCGAGGTAAAGGAAAAGAACCATGTAAACGTTGGAATGGATTACCGTTGCATGCACTACCCCCCCCCCCCCCCAAGTCTGATTAGCGCATGTATAGTAACGCAATAGGAATGCCCTCCTCGTCTGCGTCGGGCATACGTCCTTCAAACGTGGCATTTGACCGGGCTAACGCATGGTAATCACCTTCGTCTCAGCTCCGTACCATTCTCTCCATTCAGGCAGGGATAAGTGACAGGTTTTTTCCCGCGGTCATGACATAGGCTGCCAGTCGTTTGTTGTGACTAAGAATCATTCAGGGATTACTAAAACCACGAATGAAATAACGTACTTTGTAACGCCACACCTTAAATGGATCACAGAAATATGAGCATGTGTACAGTTGCCTTAATATTGCATCAAGTCATGTGGTAAATGTATCATCCCACATCCATCAAAACATGTATTGATTCAATCATGGGGTGGCGCATACATGCTCTGGTTTCAATATAGGGTTGAGATTTAAATCGCAGAGGTGAGGTCGCCCACCATGGGGAGCTTAAAATATCAGCCAAAGTTCATGAGACCCGGATTAAATTAAATTAAATATCCTAAAATACTCTACATGTACTTTTCTGAACCATTTTTAGTATGAAACTGTAATACACCTTGTGTTAAATCTGTCAGATTATCTATATTTATTCAATTATTTGTATTTACTTATGTGTTAAATTAATTTTCAACGCATTATCTTTGCTGTAAAGAAAAAAACACAAGTCACGCCCAAAATTTAAAAATAAGATTAGCTACTGAAATTACTTCTCAACAAATGTTTGCTTGTAGTTGATCTTAGTAGGCTGTTGTGGCTAAGGGTTACATAATCACAATGACGAATATTACAATATGATTTTCTACAGATCTGAAAGGCTGTTTTCTCAGAAATCGGTGACTTCAAATTGACTCATTCTATTACACACCATGAGTAGACTTCACACTTGACCATCCGGGGATAGTTACATGTGTCACTTAAGAGTGCAATACGTTACAACTGCCCCCTATCGACCTCAGTTCTGTACTTTGATATAGCTCCTTCTTTTCTTCAGAGGTCAGAGTTAAAAACGTTTTCTTCGTTTAAAAGGGACATAGTAAATATTTCAAAATCACTTAGATATTGTAATCTGGTCTTTTGATCATTTCTTGTTTTTCCCCTACAGTGGCCTGTGGTTAGAACCTGATTTTTGTCTCGTGGATGGTGACTTTAAAGTCGGGCCCTGTGCGTAAAAATAAATCTTGATTGATACCTTAAAAATATATAGATTCTCTCATATAAAGAAATGTAA